TATGGTTGAGATTTTTTTGTATAAATATCGGACTATCGTTAAAATCCGGGCGATTTGTTGAAAACAAAGAGAGAGATAGAAAAGAAAATAATTTCTTTTTATATAGCTACAGGAATAACGTCGCGTCAGTTGTCCGATAGACTATTGTAAAACGTACGTTACAGCTTGGAAACGACTTTAGGTTGTATTTATGTTATTGTATACTATAAACAAGAAACGTCCCGACGATTTATCGGTGTCACCGTCGCAAGTCGGCTTTGACGTTTTGCAAGTTTAACCAAAGCACAATATAATATACATCCGTCTCGTTCGCCGACGTTTTACAATGTACAAAAAAAAAAATAATAATAAGAAGAAAACACTGAGAAACTCGTCGAGATGTACATAGCGTACAGTTTGTTGGCGAGAAGGAAGGTTTTTTTATTAGAAAACAAAAACCATTCGAAGATAGCATCGGGAAAAAGTATCTATTTATTATTGTGTACCAATAAATTACACGTGTGTCGAGTGTCGTCAAACCGGCAGGCGATGTGAATTTATTTAGATTTCAGCTGCGGCATTCTTGTTGCTTTAGTTTGTAATTACTTACCGGGTTGTTAAACATCGTATGAATTTTACACTAGCATAGTGAAAATCCAAAGCTATATGTATAGGTGACGTTTGCGTATGTTACATTTAGCAGATGGTTGACTTTGTTGGAAGTCACGATTTTCCAACGACAAACAATGTGTTGTATAAAAAAAAAAAAGATACCTACATAGAAAACGGACCTAATGTTACGTGTAGGTTCCTCGGGAGAGACTATTCGCCAATAATTATTGGAGTACGGCTTGGCTGGCTACGACGGCTTGAGCTTAAAAATTCGAAGAAGGTTGTGCATATTATTATTGCACTGTGTAGTTTTACGGTCATTGGCAATTTTTTGTCGTATCCGCACATTTTCCAGTTTAAAAAAAATTATATACCATTGCAATACACTAGTAAATATTGTTGTTTACAATACCACCGAGGTTCGATGGAATGAAATCTTCGTTATTCCTCGGAAACGGTTATGTCATTTCTCATTCCCCAGAAGGCAGCCAGTGAAATTAATACAACCGAATAATATGAAATATATTGAATATTTTAAAGTATTTATATTATTATAAAGTTATTTGCGTGTGCTATTAAAATGAGAATAATTCATCAATAGCTTATTGCAAACATTCATTTTCTGTGCACTGTTGACGCAATGCAATAAGTCAATGATGCCAATAAACAAACTTGCCACAATTCGGGTTATCCACAAATCAACATAAGAATACAATATTGGTCAACGATAAGTATAATAATGAAAACATTTTTTTGTTTTCTAAGTTTTTGTGCATTAATGAACATAGACAGTTATATAATATTATTGTTGTCACAATTCATTTATTAAATAAACAGTGTTTTATTTTTTACATGAACGAATCAAGATTTTCTTTTTATATCGGTTTTTTACATTTTATTATAAAAGTTTATATTTTTACTTTTAATGGTTTTTATATAACAAATCTAAGTTATTTTCTAATAACTAAATAAAAAATCGGCCTTTCAGCCTTCATAGAAAAACTAGTAAGCTTCTCATAAAGAAAATAAAACTTAATATCTTAGTCGGCATACTTAAAATGGTTTTTAGACTAATTTTTGTCAAATATTGCCTATCCTTTTCCCCTTAATAAATAACACTTTCAGTTCCTCTTAACATTAAAAATGATTTGTCCAACTATAATTGATACTTATATATTTATTTCATCCTATGTGTTTACTAAAATGTAGTTTTGTTTTTTTTTTAAATTACAATGATATATCTTAGTTTTCATTATTATATTAATAAATGTATAACATAACCTAATGTCAAATTTAACAACAGTTATTACTAATAAGTAATAACAGATATCTTCTCAGCTCCACGTTGCAGTTAACAGTAGCCGCTGTACTAACACTGTTAATTACATAAACTTTGTTTAAACTATATTTTAGTTTCGATGCGATCCTGAGAATGTAATAATTTTATAATATGTATTACTTATTACTTATTGTAGTGCATGCACGGTAATTATTTTTTTGTAATGAACTGATCAATTATACCTTATCAGCACCTCTACAGGTCATAAAAAATATTTGGTTGGTATTGTGGTTTTGGGGAGGAGGTGAAACTTTGAAATAAATCATTAAAAAAAACTCCTAAAATGGTGGACATTTCTTTCAGCTTTTAATTTGGCTTTCTGGACTCACACAAATAAAATTAACAACTGAAAATTGACCCGGAGGTAGGTACTATGGATCTCTTTAACATATTTAAGTACACAAAAATATGTCGACTACACAAATTATTACTACATGTATTTTACAATTTTTTGTCTAAACGAAGTGTTCCTGTTAAGTTTCGTTTTTTTTTTTGTTGCCGATTCGAGGCTTACAAATTAATTATTTTATTAAATTACATAAATTGCTTAAAGTATATTATCTAAGAAAAATTTGAAATGATTGGTACAAATAATTGTGAATAGGCAAATTTTCAACACAATTTAAAATACCTATGTAATGCTAACAAAAATAGCTAGTATTTAGCTACTGACAGTTATAATAAATTGGTTTCAAAGTAAGGTGTCATACTATTTTTTTAATGATATTTTGAATATTTAAGTTGTATTAATGTACAAAGGTGGAATGGTATCACACAACAAGAGTCAATTCAATTAGATGTCTTACAAATAACCAAAGAGCTCTTTCAAAATAAAATGCTTATCACGGCTACTCACAGAAACTTAAAAATTATTATGAAATCATTTATCATTTATTATATTGATAAAATAACGATTGGATCGCTCTGAAATGGATACCGAAAAATATGTTTTTCATAAAAGCTACCAATGTTTCGGCACACAGAATTGTCGGTCGAATGTCTTCCTTCAGTAGGTGTTTTGAGGCTTCAAATCTAGGGTCGAGCAGAATTTCATATTCTTGCATCGTCACCAATATCTGGGATTCATCAATGTTGATCTTCTACAACGATCCGGCCGTGTGATTATCCAAGGAGACCTTCGAAATGTTGTCAATTTCTCCTAACGTGTCCATCAACCACGACTGTAGGTCGGGTATGGTTTTTGTCGTGAAATACATTATCATCATCTTTAGGCAAGTCCAAAAAATCATACCACTCGTTGAACGGTCTTAAATATTGTTCGACGTGTTTATCCCGAAGGCAGTGGTTTAACATTTTCAACTTCTCCAATAAATCATAATAGATACGCAACATCATCGTTTTTAAAGCTTGCTGCACGTGGTCGTGGAATTCCACCAGCGACAAGACGTACTGTCCAAAATACCTACTACCACTATTGATCTCGTTAATTTTCGCCCCCACATAACTGACCAATTGATATCCGTCTTCAAACTCACCGAAATCTGTCAGTAGAGTGATTTCGAACACGTCGTTCAGATACAATAGGTCTCTGGTAAAATGTGAATGAAAATAAAATTGAATTGATCGTTAATGTCAGTGGTAAATACGATTAGAGCTACTAAAGCAAGTACGAAAATGTATGTACGTAAGCGCGTAAATCATCGAAAAATAATCATTTGGTTTTAAATTTAGACAATTTAAGTAAACATACGTGGGAGTAGCAGATGTGTGAAGATTTACGACTGTAAAATGGCGGGTACCGTGCAATAAGTTTGTTATACTTTACATTAACACTACAATACACGATAAACAAAATGTAAATTTTATTATTTGTAATATAATGTCTGTTTTTCTTTCGACTACAGAAGTATAAATTATCAAAACGATTAACAGCTGTAATTTAACACCTACACATTTAAAAACGGATTATTATAGACCTTCGATTATAAGATCATCAATATAATAGCTATATTATTATAATTACGCATTTAATTTTGTTTTCCTATGTTTACAAAAACACCTTTAACGTTTCACTATTTGTAGTAGGGCCTAAATAATTTCTAAAACAATAAGGGGTAAAACTTTTTTGAGTGGGGCACCGAAGATCGGAGTCTCCAGCGCATTTCATTGTAATTAAAAACATAATATATTCAAACTAGTATTTCTTTTTAATTTTTTCATAAAGAACACAAGAACTTATCTTTTTATATTGAATAAGAACAAAAACATTCCTGTTTATTTGATCGTTAACCGCTTATTAACTATTTTTTTCAACGTTTAACTACTTCTTAAACCATCTTATTAAAATATCATTATTAGAATTCTTCAGTTATTAAACGTCACTATTTAAAAGTTCTATGGCTTCAATTTATATACAAAACAAGCGATATTAGCTTAAACAAGTATAAGTAATTGTCCTAGGTACCTAATTTTATACATACACTCAATCAATTATAGTTATTACTATTTATACCTTTTGGCTTCGGCATTGTGAACTAGCCATTCATTATATTTGTATTTAATTTTGATTTGCCCTCATTACTAGACACATGCTTGATTTCTGTTAGCTGAGAAGCTATGACAAATAAATGTAAAAGTATTACAATTTAGATTTATAATTAGTAAAAATAGGTATTATTCTTTAAACATTTTTTTAAAAATTCATTAAATTAATGTCGTCACTCATGTATCAAATTAACTATCAAGATAATACATTATGCTACCATCATTATAACAGCAAGCAATTTTTAAACAAAAATGTTTCATTTTTCTCAAGCGTATAACAACTGTTAAGCCCGTTGATTGACTTAGACCATTTTACCCATTAAACCGTATAATTTTTCCGACTCTAGATATTACAAAAACTAATTTTCTTCAATTTTAAACTTGCCGGTTTTGCTCGAGCACCATCGAATTATAATTTAGAGTAGTAACTATAATACCTTTAGTTATATCTTATATATTTATGTTTATTGCCAGATCAATAACGTGTACTTGTTTCAGATATTATAAAATAAGTCATAGTAATAAAATAATACCATAGTTATATTAAAAATAATAAATGGTTATGTTACAGTTTATATACGAGGTTAAAATATATACTACAAATCAATACAACCAGAAGCATAGATACCGTTGAAATGACAATGATTCCACGAAGAGTAAAAACATAATGTAAGGCTGAGTTCAATCTAAAATTAAAAATTATTATGAAATTATTTTTCATTTTATTAATAAAATAACGATTATAAGATAACGACATTACGTTTTGTCGTGGTTAAACGGTATTATACTCAATAATAGTTGGGCCACCGCAAACTTGAACGGATTTTGTTTCATCTTCAAGTTAAGCCTTGTACGGATCGTAAGCATTTTCGTATACTTCAAATTGCTTGAAATCTTTCGAATTTCGGAGCTTGATCAACGATTGGATCACTCTGAAATCGATATGCACAAATATATTTTTCATAAATGCGACCAATGTTTCGGCACACATAATTGTCAGTCGAATGTCTCCCTGCAGTAGGTTTTTTGAGGCTTCGAATTTGGGGTCGAGCGTTACTTCATATTTTTGGGCGGTCATCAATATCTGTGCTTCAACAATGTTGATCTTCTGCAACGATTCGACCGTGTGATTGTCATGGGAGCACTTTGACGTTTTAGAGATTTCCGTCAACGTGGTGATCACCAATTTCTTTGTGCCTGGGATGATTGTTTCTGAGGTAGTATCGTCTTCCGTCCACGATCGCGGTAATTCTGACATGTAGAAACCGTTTGATTCTTTGGGTAAGTCCAAAAAATCACACCATTCGTCGAAGGGTCTTAAAAATTGTTTGAAGTGTTCCTCTCGAAGGTCTTTGTTTAGCTTTTGCAATTTTTCCAAAAAATCATAATAGATACGCAACATTATCGTTTTTAAAGCATGCTGCACGTGTTCGTGGAATTCTACCAGGAATAAGATGTACTGCCCGAAAAACTTAAACTTCTTACTAATCAGGTCAATTGTTGACTTCAGATACCGGATCAACTTATTTCCGTCTTCAAACACTCCGAAATCATTCAGCAGAGTGGCCGCCTTTTCGTTCTCGAACACGTCGTTCAAATACAGTGCGTTTTTGGTAAAATGTTTTTCGGTCAGAGGCTGATCACTTGGTCCTGCACCAGAAGTACCGGCCTCTTTTTGGCAACGGCCCAAACTCATGTTATGAATTACGGTAGGCCAGTGCTTCTTCAGAATTTGAATCACCGCATCCGAGTTTTTCTTAAAGTCTTTGTATTTTGGTTGAAACCGTTCAATGTCGGCAACATAACTAACGAATTTGTACTCATCCTTGGTCTTCGGATGGATCATTGTGCAATTGTTTTCTGTCATCGTGTAACGCAGCACTTCATACATCCCGTAATGTGCCTTACGCAGGACGGGCAGAAAATATTTGCGCGGATCATTGGCCACGTGCGCTTCTATCCGCGTGAAGTACAAATACATTAGCCAGTGCACGTCCGTGTCGTTCGGGGCGACGTTGAACGCGGTCACCAACATTTTTCTCGCCCATCCCGAATAGTTCATGTTGATGTTCCTGTGTAAAGTGTCCACCTGAGTTGGATAAACATAGTATTTCGGATTCGTCAGATGAAGATATGACATCATGTAGTACGCGTCGTTGCATCTAATTTGTTGCGACTCCGTCTGTCCTTCCAGACGTATGAATTGCCCTGTCTTCGGCTGTGGAACTTTGCTGGATTTTTTAAAAGGCCACACGCCGTCCGCCATGTTAACAAATGCCAACAAGATGATAACCGACGCGGTCCGCTTCAATCGGATAGCCATTTTCGGTATACGCTATACTTACAATGTACAGCGAGAGCTAAAGTATTTCTGAGTACTTCAAATTATTAATGAAAATTAAATAAATAAAATTTCATTAAGTGATAATGCACGAGTTACAAATGCAGAGCTATAAACGCAAGTACGGGATTGACTGTGCGTACGTAAGCGCGTTAATCATCGACATAAATTTGGTGTTTCATTCTAAACCGTTTAAGTGGAAGTGGGGAATTTGTAAAATATATTTTTATTCCGCTGTTTTCTAGTGTCACACTACATATTGTTTGTAATAAAATAAAGTAATTAAATAAATATATGTAGTAATTGAGTGTATAAAAGAAGATTGGCAAATAATTTTACCAGTACGACGAATATAAGGATAGTTAAATCTCTAAGGGTAAAAAAATGTAGGTACCAAATTCATTGTAAAACAAACAAATATATGTGTATACAGAATGATTCATTAAAGATAAAACGATGTATACATGTATAAAATATTTGAGTTGTAAGAAGTTTAGGTTTTTGTAGTAGTTTTGTACATTGCCGCGTGTGTTTCAAAAGTGACGCCGAGCTCAAAAGTAAACACAAATTTACAACTATGATTTTTATTTGAAGTATTGTCTGCCCTTGGCCTTGGCGTTAACTCTAAAAAACAATTTTTTTAACTTTAGAAAAACACTTGTGTGATTTGATGTGCGTTTCATTTTCACGTTTAAAAAAAATATGTTTTTATACTGTCATACGTTACAAATTTTAAGATTACTCATGTACAAACCTATCGGTTTGAAAAAAACAACAGCTATTATGATGCTTACACGTTTTATAAAATCCATACCACGTTATTTGATTTGAATTGAATATACGGATGAAGTTCGTTCGGGGTGAATTGAGATTGAAAATTACAAAGGACAACGGCCTTAAGTACAATCTGGGTTGTAGTACATAAGCAGAAAAATATTGTGCACGTGTATTGTTCAAATAATAACACGTTTTTCGAGTGACAGAGGGCCTCTCAGTCTAAGGATAATTCAAGTTACTTCAGCAGAAAAATATAGTGCATGTGTATTCAGTATTGTTCAAATAATAACATGTTTTCGTATTAAGCTAAAAAAATATGAAGGTTATGAAGGTTAATGTACTACGAACTATGAACAATTATTGAAAAATTTTTACCGATTTTCAAAATTATTGTCGTTTCAGAGTACGGTATTGACACAGTATTGTAATCGATAGAAAATGCACAGGTGTAGAGGCCTCTCAATAAAATACCAAGGTGGATTTTGTTCGGTTACTTTTAACACGGTCTATGTATTAATTCTGATAGCTTAAGAACTCGAAGAAAATTTAAAATAAATTTTAAAAGTCGAAAACCAAAAACAAGTACCGTGTTTCCCTTGAAGGAAACACATTGGAACATGAGTATGGCTTATGGCCTCTTCCCGAAACTAAACTACCAGGAGACGATCGACCAAAGGTTTGTTTAGTTATTTGCATGGGTTTTTTTTCATCCTAAAAGTTATCTCATCTATTGTAATTTGTATCATATACAATCAATTGACAAAAATATTTTTCTGAAGACGGTCAAATTACTTGTATTTAAAAAGTTTAACAAAATGCAAACCGCTTATGGCTATTTTTTTTAAACAGTTTATTGTATTTTTTATTGTTTTGGAATTTTTTTCTTATTATCCCATTCTCGATACATAAAGTATTTTTTACAATACAGGCTATTGTTTCTTTATTTACTTTTTATCATCAAATAAATTATAATAAATACAATTACAAGTACTAAATTTCTCAATGAGCACAGTGAACATGTTTTGTAGCGTCAAGCTACCAAGACATACATTTTTTTATTTGTGTATTTTTATTTGCGTCAGCCATAGCAGCTGGATGGCAAGAAAAAAGACGGTCGTCAAAAGTATAGTTTAATAGCTTTTGACTAATGCCACCGATTATTCGACTGTTAATAAATATTTCGCTATTTTCCACAATAATTGTTCCAAAATCGATTGCATTAAAAAAAAGTCACATATGTCTTTACGAATCATTTACTACTGAATGAATTCAATTGTATAGTTTAACTTTAACAAAAAAGGTTTTTTTGTTTTACACGTACCTAAGCAAATTTCGGTTAGGTATTTAACAAAAATATGCATTTTAAAATTGTTGTTCTTTTCTCGGTGTTAAACTTCTTTACGGCAACATGGGTAAGAAAAACTATATAATATTTAAAAAAAAAAAACCATTTACGGGTACTTTTTTTTATTCTATCGCGTATAAAATATTTTACAGAGTTTTGGATTAGGCCTCCGCCACATAAACGGATTAATCGATATTTCCGAAAACTTCTGTATAAATAATCGAATGATCGAGACGTATTTTGTTAGTGAGGGCATTACAAATAGTGATCAAATAACTACACTCAAAAGAAGTAAGTATCTAATAATTTTATCCATCATACAAATCATTGGCGAGCCTTGGCAATTAAGTTTAAGCTTCTTATATTGAGATTAGCAAGAAATAAACTGTGTTTTTATAAAAATTGATTTCAAAAATAGCATTGAATCTCTAACAAGTTTTGTGTACACTTAAACATTAAAACTATGATATTCAAAAGTGCATCTATCGTTTAGCATTAAAACAAGTATGGGCTTTATCGGTACGCTAGAACTGATTGACTCTCGATGAGAATTATTCGGTTTCACCACGCACAAGTTCAGTCTTGATAAGAACATTATATATTTTTTTTCGTGAGATATGTACGGCTAACTTGCACTAATTACCAATGTATTTGTATAGACTTGGACGAAGATACAACCTTGTCGGAGTTTTTGATATCGTTGGCCTATTGTAATAAAGGAACTTTCAGCTTTGCGGTAATAACCAAAACAATTAATATAATTAAGTGATAGTGATTTAAATTTATATTAGAAACTTAATATAATATAATATCAGAAACTTCAATACGAAAGACTACTTTTTTCTATTATTTTATCTTATTTAAGTCCCAGTCATAAATTAAAAAAAAAAACAAATATCCTGTAGGTACTCAAAAATAAATTTAAAGTTGTATAATGTAAATAAATTAAATAACATTGTTTTTTGTGTATAAGTCTTAACAATTTTAATTCCCGCTTTTGGAAAAATCTAAATTTATTTAAAAATACAAAATTGGTAAATTAATAGTACTATTTTGTTTTCTCTTATTTATTATACTTAGGAAAAAAGTTTATCAACATATGAAGTAAAACTTTTTGTAAGAATGTTCGTAGCACAAGATAAAAAAGGTAAACATGACGGATTCCTTAACCGATATGAACTACAAAAGCTAATTGGAAAAGGTTTTAATCTAAAAAAAAACATTAAGAAGCTAATAAAGAGCGAATTTAAAGGTAGTATTGTATTTAAGTGGCGATTACTTCAATGAACTTAAGAATTTCAATTCATGTTTAGATAAAAAACGAATTCATGTACTAACGTACTTGGCGGTAATATTGAAACATAAACCATTGGTAAGAAAACTGAATTATTTAACATTGTTGAAGTTAAACTTCTAATGGGGGGGGGGGAGGTAAACCAAAAAACGCGTTATTGATTATCAATTGACTGAGACAAAAAAAAACAGTGTTGATTGAATTGAACAGATTTCACATTTTAAGTAGCAGGGTTTGATGCAATAATAGCGGCCTTTTGTCGTCGCATAGCTAAGAATATACATGCGCGGCAGCCAGTGACAAGATAAAAAGATTGCCCAAAGGGTGGCTTTAATAAATAACATACATTCCAATACTGCGCCACAATTATTATGAACGTTCATTTTTTATGGCTGTTTTATATCTACTTCTAATAACCCGTTAGATTAATTCCGCGACGGTAAAATCTGTCATGATGGTAATTTTGTATACTATGTGTGGAAGATAAACTCATAAATAATATAATAATATGATACATATTAAATATATATATATACACACACACGCATGTTTAATTATAACAGTGGTAAATATGATATTTAAACATTTAGGGCAGTGGTCTGGACGAGGAACAAATAGACGAATGCCACATTTTATGTGACAGCTATGACCAATTCCTAGATTCTGAATATCAACAACATTTATTTGGCTCGTTAAAACATATTGTGTCCAAAAAGTACGTTAATGATCTATTAGATATCCACCATGTCCGTAAGCATAATATTGTGTAATTAATTTAATATAATTATAATTTGATGAAAACATTATATTTAATAATTTCTTAATAGACCCGGCTCCTCTTGAGTTAAAAGAGCTCGTAATCTTTTGGGCGGAATATAATGAAGCTGGTGTTAAAGTAATATTTTTTTTTTTAACTTTTCGATTTTTATGAGCTGTTTGCATTGTACATACATACAATAAGGTATGACGAATAGAAGTTTATATTGATGATGGTGCACTGTGCAGGTACCTTTTTTAACTACGGAAGAGGTCAGGAATGCCATGGCGCAGTTCACTAAATTTGACCAAGACAAAGACGGACTACTCAACTTTGAGGAATTTTCAAATTTGGTAGTTGAAGAATACTCCGATCCAGATGCTAAAGCCTTAATTAAGACATTTAATCCTCTAAGTAATTTACTAAATAACTACAACGATAATTACCTCTTAAAACTAATTTTAATTAGTTAACTTAAAACTAATATTCTTCTAATTTTAGAGTCTCGTTTGATGTGCGCTGTAATGTTCTTGAAAGTGAAATTGTTGAATGACGTTCCAAGAAAAACATTAGCAATGCTTTGGGATGATGACAAATGATACTGAACACAAAACATTTATTTTCTAACTATACTTGATATTTACTTACAACGTACGAGTGTACTAAAATGTAGTTTTGTTTCTTTTTTAAATTTCAATGATATATCTTAGTTTTAATTATTATTATTATTAAATACATAAAAATAACCTAATTTCAAATCTAACAATAGTTTTTACTTATTACATATACTTTCTCAGCTCCGCATCGAAGCTAATAAATTACACAAATTTAATGTTATTCTTTGGCAGTCATACTTTTGGGGAGTACTACACTGGTAATTACATAAACTTTATTCAAACTATTTTTTAGTTTTGATGCAATGCTAAGAGTATAATTATTTTATAATATGTGTTGTTACTTTTTGTGGCTCATGTATGGTATTTTTGTTTTGTAATGAACTCATTAATTACGCCTTATCAGTACTTCTATGGGTCACAAATAATATTTGGTTGGTATTGTGGTTTTGGATAGGAGGCGAAAATTAAAAATAATTCATTCCCGCACCCTTTAAACCGGGAAATCCTATAAAATATTGGCCATTTTTTATCAGCTATAAATTTTGGCTCATTTAACTCGAAAAATGACCGGATTGAATCGAAATTTATAAGTAATATGTTTAAGAAAGGTCTTACTCTACAATTTTTGAGAAAATTGTAAACCTTATAGTTCCATTTTAGATCTACCTTCGGTCTAATTTTCAGATCTAAATCTCTAAAACTTAGCTTGAAAAAGTGAAATAAAGAAAAAAATTCTATACTTTCTAGGGGATAGGGCTTATGATATTTTTTTGGTTTGTTAATGTTTACCAATAGTTCTATGTTTGAAGAACAATTCATATAAATTTGGATTTTTTTCGACTATTTTTAAAAAAGTTATAGAGCATCGTATTTTTAATTTGAAAAATTTACTAATTTTTTGGTTGTTTTTCTCGATTTTGATTGGGAAAGGGTGAATTTTTTTAAATTTTTGGCCTTATAAAGTACCTTCCTTATACGATTTCTAATCTAAAGAGTTGCTACACGAAGAAATCGGTTCAGTGGTTTACGAGATACGGGTCCAGACACAAAAAAAAAAATAAAAACATATCATTGTAAAAACAATACCTTCTCAGCTCCGCATCGAAGCTAAAATGCATCACAATATATTTAAAATATTATAAAATAGTTTCGGAGTAAAACACATTATTGGCCTTCAAACAGAATTAAATGGCCTAGCAGGCCGACTCGTAGACATTTGGTATATAAATTTACCAAACGTATGTTAAGGCGTAATTTTGTAATAAATACACATTACAATATGATAGCACTAGTACAAAACACATTAGCGGCTGACAAAAATTAAAACACGGTTGCTTAATTTGCAGTTTTTTAAGTCTCTCGTTGTCCCCGACACAATGCCACGATACAGTAATTCTATAATTTTGGGGCAAGAAAAATTACCAACGGTTGCTGACAGTAGTAGCATTGATTATAAATAATATATTTATATATCAATGGTTATAGTTACAACAATCATTATTATTAGACGCGTCTCAAAAGAATGGTGGTGTACACATTAATATTATTGTTATTACTGTAGGACCGGATGTCGTCGGGCTTGTATTGCAATTTTGTCTGTGACTTTGTGATAACGTGCATTTATTATAAGAAAAAAAAACATAATAATATCATAAGATCGTGACGTTAACCATACACACGCATGATATACAATCCGACGGCGATGGCGGCAATAGAAATGCGCTTTTCGTGAGAACTAATCTCCCAGCGCGGTGACGTTACAGTATACTATTATTTATCTTGTCAACACGCCGGACGCGACTACAATAATAATGATAATATCGTTCACGAGTTGGATGTTTGTTTTTGCTTTAATTATTGTTATTTCAAATATTTATTATTATATCGATGGCACAGTGCACAGGTGTGATAAGAAGTGCGTGTCGTACAATCTTACCGGAACGGCGTTTGCAAGCTTAGAAAGATACGCATAAGATGCGATGGAAAATCACATAAAACAGAATGAGACGTGTGAGCACAAAGCCGAAGTGGAGCAGACAAGAATAAGTTGACCTAGGAACGAGAAACCAACCATGACCCGTCGATCAGATAAGGAGCACAATCAAAGCTTCCATTGAGCTCAAATCGCAAACCGGACAACCATTCAACCATCGATGTTTAGAATCTAGAATTGACAAAACGCATCATCAGTCGACGTTAATTGTGTTCAAATGTAAACGAATAGAAACGTCTTGGGAGTTCACAGGATATACTTTGAGCTTTATGCAATTAACATGACCGACGGGTGCAGTGTCTTGTGCGCCGTCTACTTGCGATGCGGTTTTAGAATTGAGTAGCCAAACGGTATAAGGTTTCACACCGGTGGAAGGAGGTCAGGGTGGGTCGTCCGGGGGCGGTACCGTATTAATAAAATACTTTTTATAGTTCCCGTAGGGTTTGCCGGCCATAAAAGCGTCGGTTATAATTCGACTTAATGGCCACACTGAAATCGTGTTTTTACATGATAATATGTAATTCCCATTGGCGGAACTGCACGATTTTTCTTTTAAAGCACGTTGCCGCCGATTAACGTGAAACGCGGTAGTCCACACGAACAATTAAAATCATTACTATCAAATTAAACGATTCCGATTGTAAAGCAATTAACGGTTTAATGCGTTTTTTTTTTTTAATACCACATTAATTACAGTTATATCAGGACGTTTCAAAAAAAGCACCGCTTTAATGTTTTTATTTTTTTTAAGAGCCATATCGTATAAATTATGAAAAAAAAAAAAGGTTTATAATCTTTAATTTCGATAACTTTTTGTTATTACAATAATTTTGGGCTAGTTGTGTGAAATGTTAAAGAAACTGTCCCAGCGTACCTATAATGTTTGTGTACGAGTTGTGTGCATGTCGGTTAACTAATTTTGTGTCTAGACGAGGCGGTTGCTTATATTATGTACCTTTTACGTTCGCTCATGCACATGTCGCCCATAAATAAACTAATTTCTACGGTAAACCGTACTTAGCAATTCCATTATTGAACCATTTACCCTCGATGCGATAACGGGCGTGTGTTGAGGGTACATCGCTTTCGTATTCACGGCACATTTGTCATTATTTACATTGGCATTACTTTTGGGTTTCGAATAACGCAATTTTAAAAACGGAACACATTTTTCGGCGCATAATCAACGAGAACGGAGAATAACAAAATGTGTGCAAAACATTTCACAATAATATTATAGCATTTATTTAAATGAAAATTATGTTTCGTTCGCTACTATTCGATCGTCCTCGGTTTGAGTCGACTGCAGTTGAAAAATGCTAAAAAAAAAAAAAAAAAATACCGGACACTATTATAATATTGTAAAATATAATATAATATATGTTGTTGCTCAATATAATATTAAATCTGATTAATATAAAACCAACGACTCGTCCGTGTTATGTACCCTTCTCTGCGTGAACCTGGCGACCTCACATAGAATAATTATTGTGCTTTTAACCAGTTTCCACGGTAATAGTATTAATATAATAAAAGCCAAAATACTATTGTATTATACGCGATATTAATATGATATAATATACATATATAATTGTTGGATACGCTATATACACGATTTGTACGTACCTATACTTTGCTTATTATTTCTTGTCACGCGAGCCAGAGAGACAGTTGGTTTATAATTTATTAATTTACGAAAACTATTAAACGATCATATCATTAGGTATAGTTGCGGTTTGTGTGTTATTTTCTTCGATGCAGTTTATCGCTTTGTATTCGACGTGACGATTATTTGTTTAAAAAGACGCGTTTCGAATTTATTGAGAAAACAACTAGATGTTCGATACTACAATAATGTAAGATATTTGGCCCTGTGTTAATTTAAAGAATATATTTTGGTATCCCGACTACAGAAATCGGTGTATAAGAGCACATCGGGGTTGCATTGTCTTATCCGTTATATTGTCATTTTTGGTCGGCAATACTAGAGAATGTAGTTGCCTACGGGTTTTGAAAAAATTATTAAGACGTCAAATTTGTGTGCGCGCCGTTCAACTCAAGTGCTTCTCTTCGAATGGAAGAAGTGCTGCTCTCCGCTCTCTCACAGTGATAAATGATAATTAATCTTGCACGAGAGCGCGTCAAAAACTTCCCACACCGAGATCCTGGTGTGTGTGTGTGTGTGTTGTATTATACCTACACAATATATGTATATATATATTATATTGTATTTATTTTATTATTATTGTTATTATTATGGGTATGGTACACACTTGACACAAAACGTTTATGTATTGCCGGGCGATGAAATACACTCCAAAAGAGATCTGTTTGTTTTGTTTTCCGTTGTATTATATTTTCATCCTTTTCATAGTATACGAATCTCTTTTCTCGTATTGTTTTGTTACATTATAATAATAATGAAAATATAGTAATTCGAATCTGGACACTTTTTTTAATTTTTTATTCAAACGAACACCGCACCGAGACTTCTCTATAGGCATGCATAGTCTTCACGCGCGCCACTATTGTGAGCACGTCATACTTATGTCATCATTGCGGCACACGGTGTACGCTCGTAGAACGCTATCGGATAATATGTCATCGTGAAACAATGGTTTTTTTTTTTTATAAAATATAGCGTTCTGTAGAAATGTAATCGCTAAAAATATTAATAAAATATGTAAATCGTACCTGAGTTTTAACTTTTATGAATGGCGTGTAATTTTTCTCGAAAAGCAAGCACACTATTATTATACAGTTGTTGTACTCGGGGATTTTTTATTTAATTATTGGTTTTAAGAAACTATAACAAAATTTCATAGCTACAACTGTTGTAATGTTTAATAGATTCCTAGAAATATCTGCGAGCTATACACTTTTTGCAACTGTTAAAAACTTTAACTTCACAGACATTAGTAAATCTTTTCACTATTGACACAATGTCGTTGTTAACAAATATAAATTATAAAGTCTCAAATGTCCTTAACACTCTTAATGCATTTAAAACTTATTATTATTTTTAATTCGGTCCAATCCAATCTAAATCAATCTAAAAAACGAATACCTCTTTAGCTCCACATCTAAGTTAAAATGAATTGTGTGCAACCAATTTTGGACGTATAAAAA